AGAGCTAATGTGCATTGAGAACAACATCTATGTGTAGTAAAATGGTTTGTCCAAAATGTGGTAAAATCTTTTTCCCATGTTTTGAAATTATATTCAAAATATTGATTACGTTCCTCTCTATTCCTAATATTTAATGGAATTTCCAAATGACTTTTTGTTGATGAAAAGAATGTAAATAATGCTGTACCATAAATCAACCATGTATTTTCGAATACTCGTCTTTCTAGCAATATCTGATTTTTTAGTTCTGACTATCAGTATTATGTTCTTGTAATAGTATTGAACGTATTGTACTGTTATATGCTTCACAAAAAATTGTCAAAACCCGTATACATATGTGTTAAATCTGATACATAACGTAATATTAATTCAATAGCATATACATTCTACCCACCGAAATGAATATATTTTTGGTTTACCAATGAATTATTAGTAACAAAACGTTTTGATCCTTGGATATAACTGTTACAATGATATTTGGTGTTGCAGCAACAAGCAAAGAACAATACACCACTCTGAGCACAGTTGTTGGTAAAGACGCTAACCTTTTCTTTAAATATGATCTGTAATGGTTTTTGACAGGACAGGCAAATATTTACAAACGGGTTGATTGTATGCACTAATTTCAATTATTATTATACCTCTTTTGGAATCAATGTTGCGCAAATTCTCGAAAAGGCTGTTCCAACAAAGGCTTTCTTGTGCTCCTCTTCTCATTTACAGATTCCTCGACTAGTCTGTCCATAATATTAAGGAATAAAAAACATTCCATAATAAGGAGTCGGAACAAACCCTTTTCTCACAGTTTTGTTAATTGGCTGGTTTTGTGTTGATTTATCTAATTTGACACCTCTAATCACCTTGTTTATAACATTATTCGGGTAACCATTAGCACGAAACATTAGTCTAAAGTACTGAAACTGCTGCTCAAAAAGAGCAGCCGTTGAGCAAATCCTTTGCGCTCTAATACATAGGCATTTTAGTAGACTAATTTTGTAACTTCTAGGCTGATTACTGGCCCATGTTAAGTACAGATCCGTATCTGTTGGTTTACGATAAACATATGCGATGAGTTCCTCATCTTTTCTTTCCACCATCACATCCAAAAACGGTAACTTATTAACATTTTGCATTTCAATAGTAAATTTAATCTTAGGATGTAATGAATTCATATACTTTTTTAAAGCAGCAATATCTTTTTGTGTCCCATGTCATAGGATAAAAATGTCATCCTGTGATAAACAGGAGTAATAAATAAATAAATAAATGTGATAAAATAGGAGCTAAAGGGCTTCTCATCGCTATGCCATGTATCTGGTCATAGTAATTGTCAAATGTAAAATTCTTGTTTGTACAATAATAAAATAGTTGTCTTAGATTATAGTCATCGATAGTGAGTGAAGGATGGTGTTTTCTAATTTTCTGTATTGCCATTTTTATCATATGTTCCAATATAGGAATTGATTGAGCACTTATTCAAACTGTTGCAAATGATGAAAAAGTCAGCGATAAGGCATTGCAATTGCTGACTGATTAAAATTAGCTAGGTGAGAAACCAACATCTGTGACTTTGTTCAATATGCTTCGTTGCATATTAGAAATCTGTTTGATTTCGAGATTTTTCAGCAGCAGTAGTACGCACGAACCAATACAATATACTGAGTCCCAATATTATTGGGTATTGAGTCGCTTGAGTTCGGCCCACTTTTACAGTACATACGCATGCTTTATATCCCATTTTGAATCAAAATTTAACCCAATTAGGCATTAATAATGGATATTGGGACATTCAGCAAAGTCGTTTCGAATCAGTTATAAAAAAGCAGTTAGAGCTGCCGAATGTCTCATTTTGTAGGAAAATGTTTGCTCTGTCAAACTGCAGTGGTAGAAAAATTTTAATGTTATATATAGAGAAAATATAATAAATCGAAAACGCACTAAAATAGTAGAAAAATAATCGCTAATCGCTTATCTTTTTGTAATTTTGCTCAGTTTCGGATGCTTGTATTTCTGCCGCAGATAACACTAAAATGCCCTTTTGTACTTCAGTTTGGCAGAGCAGCTTACTTTCCTACAAAATGAGACATTCGACAGCTCTAACCGCTTTTCTATAACTGATTCGAAACGACTTTGCTGAATGCCCCAATATCGATTATTAATCGGTGTATGCTTAACCTCGATTGGGATATGCTTCCTCACGTTCTTACGAAGGTAAATGACATTAAGGTTAAAAAGTTGGAATCCAAGTATATTGTGGAATCCAATATCATTGTACCATATTCTTGAGTGTATGTTATACTGTAATAATGATGTAATGTAATAATAATTGGTAGTGGTGTATGTCCAACCAGTAGTTTATCAAAGCATCGTTTATTCTTAACGATTACATATATTGAAGGTTACTCAATGGTAAATAGCATGAGAAAATACGGCTACTTTGCGAGAAAATTTCCTTTCCGAGATGTTACTCGATGTGACATGTCAAATATTCTTCCTTGCAGATCCCTGTTACTTTTGAAGACTTGAGGACCAAAAGCTATTACCCTACAAATGTTATAAAGGATGATATGCGAAGTGAAAGATAATACCGTATGTAATCATGTTGTTCTGTAAGCGTGGCCATTGATATTTAATCAAAAATGCATCGAAAACTATTGATGAGCTTTTAGAGTGAATACCAGCTGATGTTCAAAGTTAAGATTTAATCTCGTTTATTGATGTAAGAGTAGAAAATCCAAGAAATAAAAGCCACAAAAGCGGATCGAGGATCCATATACATGTGGTCACCGTAAAAAAAGAAAAGAAACACTGGACTGTTACGGATTCGCTAACCCATACTAAATAGTACAAGAGAAAAAATGAGAGAAGAAGTGAGAAAAAGAAAATATTATGAATAAGTATATAAGTAAGCATAAAATGTGATAGTTGTGTGGTGTGTTCGTGCCTAAAAGTCTAAAATTTGATGATATATGGGCTACAGAAACTGTTTTTGTGTGGGATTATTGATGGAATGACAATGGATGATTATAGTTTCTAAATAAAAATAGTTCGATAGCAGTAGTGTGAATAAAATCGTACAAGTATTAATACACAACCCGATTTTAAAAAAACATGATATAATATAGTCAAAATGAACATGGAGAAAAACTGTGTTTTATTAATACCTGCTCGGTGGGATACCCTAATGTTTATAGATGATTTTAAACACTTCCACATACTTATAACACCCTTTGAGTAAGAATAACATCATTCTTCATCATTCACCTCATTATAGACGACCGCGGGATCCCTCTGACTAACTTGGATTATTTGACTTTTGATAAAGAGGAATATTCATGGATTTTTATCCAGATCTCCTACTGATGATTTAGATCGGTTCCTGATATTGCTCTTCTAGGTTATCTCTGTATCATGGAAACTTTTCTTTGGCTACAAGCAACTATATAATAGTAAGAAGCTCTAAAATGTCAAATCTACAACGTATTTTTCAGAAAATTTAAGTTTTCTTTTAAAGCAGTTAAACAGATAGCAAGATGCATCATTTTTCTAATGCTATTAAGTTTGAATCGCTCCCTCCTCCGCATAATAGAAGATCACTGCTGACCGTTTTTCCCTAGGACCCACCCCTCCACGGTTTTTGTGCAAAAATGTACTTGAGTTGCACACGGGAATAGAAGACCATGGTGGTCTTCTATTATGGGAGGGAGGGGGAGGTTGCTCTTTCTCATAGTATATGATATATTTCGTCTAAACTTTATGTTACGGTCACTTTCTTCAAATTCACTTGAAAAATAAAGAAAATTTGATCTTTTCGCTCACATTAAAAAAAGGAAAGTCATTGAATTTTTTGCATTTGGATATAATAAAAATATTATTTTGTTTTAAAATAAAAAAGCTCTACTCCAAAATGTTTAATTTTGGAAGTGTTATGAGGGTTTGACGCAATGATGCAAAACTTCTATCTGGAATGAGGATTCTTTGGTATAACGAGTAAAAGTAAACAAGTTCTCATGCAATTAATTGTAACGCAAGAAAATGCTAATTATAGAGGGAAGAGTTTTCAAGGGCTACAAATTGGCTATCTGGATTTTTCAAATTGGCTGGTCTGATTTTGTTTACAGCACTATACTTCACTAACTCTTCTACAACAGGTCAAAATCACGACATCCATTCACTACCTTGCCCATAACTCAAACAAACTTAGGACTGAAAGAATGTGTACTCATTCGGTAGTCATTTCAATTTTGCATTTTTCTATATAGACTATGCCGAATCTCTGTCTGTAGACGAAGTCATAATCATTTTTTATGTGCCAATAAAGTAGCTCAAAACTTTTTAGGGGGAAAGTCTTCTGGACGATTCTTTGCTTAACTGGAGAAACTAACTCGTCCATCTCTGCTTGCTTTTGTGCAATTATAATACGTACGTACTTGTATATATGGACCCAAAAATCTGTTAAGGATTAGAAAAAGGTTGTCAGTTCCAAAGTCAATTCAGTTGGATAAGAAAAAGTACTTGTGCGTAGTTCTCTTGTGATTTAATAAATATTAACTGGTTAGATGATATTGTTTTATAATTTGGTTCATATCTTTATTATGCAATGGTTTATTACCTATATCTTCTAGGCCATGTTTCGTTATAAATAACATAACATTTGCGAAGTCAGTAGATGTAATAACTTTTGATGGTGCTACTAATTTGACTGGATAATACAACGGATTTGCTAGTTTTTCATACCAAGCAGTGTGTGAATTTTTATGCATGGGTTTAATAAAACCCGGTCGTAGAATATAAATGTGTTTAAACGCTAACTTTAGTAAATCATTTTCCGTTTTACCTTTCACTCGTCCAAATAAAAATCGACTTTGCTCAGTTGAATCAGCACCTTCACCACTGACAAATAAAAATGTTATTTCTGGGTTAGATTTTAACATTTGTTTAGCTGCTTCCATAACATAATCATACGTTATTTGGTAATATTCTGTTTCATTGACTTTATTTTGTGATATGCCCAAACACCATAAACAAGTGTCATGTGCCAAAAATACATTGTCAAATGATGAATAATCTAAGAAATTTCTATGAATAATTGGATTGAGTTTTGATGACCGAATAATATCATCAGGCAGCGGTTTACGTGTTATTGTTGTTATTAATTCAATGGATGAATCATTCGCCGCTTGTCTCACTAATTCTGAACCAATCATACCTGTTGCACCAAATACAATTATTTTCTTCATAACGGATTGAGCCATCAAGGTTTTAACTGATCAATTTCTCAAAAGAAAACGAATATAGCGACTACACTTCTTCATCTGACTCACTAATTAATTGGGCAAAATTAAAAAAAACGGCAAAAAAAAAACGGTCGAGGGTTCTTTATTTCACAAAAATATCTTTCAAGTATTTTAAAATCCCAAAGCTATACAGGGTTTTTTAAATCACGGTTTTCTCGTATTCTAAAAATCCCAAAAGGGTTCTTTGATAAAAGAAAAAACGTTTAAACCTTTACTCCCCCTTGGTCAATGAGTTACAAAATCAGTAAGTTTAAAAAACCCACGAAAGTTGACTTTCTTTAATAATTATTTTTCTACCAACAAAGAAGATACATCTTGGGGATGTATTGTGTGATATAAATCGACGATAACGTCTACTACTCATATCAATGCCTTTCGAAACTTTCAGAAAAGCTAGGTAGATAAGAGTTGGTAAACGATTGATGGGGACCGACATGAGACGTTATTTTTCCTTACATATTGTTTTTCCTCTATATGTAATACTTATTGACAACTGCGCACAGTTAAGTAAATAATTGACATTATTTATAAATACAAGCGTTATTTGCCATGATTAGATATTCCAAGCAAATATCAGCTATGGGAAAAATCTAGATACACTTCGTCTGTAATCGGGGGATGCATGACTAGTTGCCATCTAGATTACTAGTTGGAAAAGGGACTTTTAACGAGATATGTCTGCATGAGCAACTAGCAATAGTTAGAGTGATAAATCGCTAGTTGCAACTAGAAGAAATCTAGCAATTGCCGGAATATTAAATTTCCACTGTCGTTACTCAATAGTTGCAATCGAGTAAAAATCTAGTCATCTAGATGAATCGGGCGATACTAGATTTTTCTTTTCACGCTTGGGATGAGTCGGCCGATCCGGCTCCCAGTCCAGGGAACAAAACCAGGACCAGGACCAGGACTAAATCCAGATCGCTCCGCCCGGGTCTGGGAATAAATCTAACATGGATATGAGGAGAGCAGCCTTTTTCGGTCTCGGTTCTGATTCCGGTCCTTCCGAAAAAAAAATTTGGGTCCTGAGACCGTCTCACCGATCTCTAATAATGATAAATAGCGTTTGTATTTATAAATAATGGCAATTATTTCCTTAACTATGCGTCGTTGTCAAGAAGTATTACTTATGTACATAACGACATATTCGAAAAAAATTAACTTTTTATGTCGTTCCTCTCCCAATGGTTACTAAAGTGACCAAACTATCCTGCACAAGGGACTGTATGTCTGATCGATCTGTCCGTACCAATGGCACATTGTGGAGACTAACGACCGACATCACAACATGATACTCTAGTGTTTGCGGATATGCTTTATGAAAGGCCCTAAAGGAGGAACTTTCTTATTTGGAATGGAAAGTGTCACAGATGAATTGCTTAAAGAAATATTGTCTTTTTAAACAATTCGTGTAGTATTTGATCATTTAGCTCCTTTAGATATTGCAGATGGCAGACAAAGTAGAGTCTATGTATTGTAAATGTACTGTTGTTGTTTTTCTAGCGTTTCTGCCGGAGGCAAGTGTTATGAAGGTTATGTAACCATGTCACCATTCCTTTCTTATCCATATAAATATCCTTATTCCTTATTCATTATTCATGCCTACGTTATCCATTTCTCGACTTTTCCTAATAAAATATATATTTAGAAAACATACATTGTAGTCTGCTATGTGTTGTCTCTGATGACGGAATGAAGTTAGTATTTTATGTTAATATTTGCGAATCTCTAATAAAAAATGTCATGCTGACTGATCAACAGAACAGAAAAAAATTTTCTCAAGTATTTAAGTAGTATGAACGACTTTTTCCTTTCTCTGTTTCATTGATGAAGTGTGGTATATACGCATTTTTTTCTTAATAGTGTTTTTGCTTTTCCACTCTTGTGACACTTTTTATCTGAAGATGTATATCAATAATTAATGATCAGCTAGGTCTGAATAGCTGGATCAGCTTCTCAGTTTTTTCAGCTTGGAATCAGACCTCATTAAAATGTATCAGCTCGTTTGAATTCTCTGTGAGTAACACTATCAGATATTACAGGTCTCAATCAGCTATTTGAACACAAAGCTTTTTTCGTAAAACACAAAATTATCTAAACTTCGAGATGTCGCTGACTCTCACTTCTTGAAGTTTAAAAACCTTTGTGTTTATACTTAATAAGAATAGTGTGCTTATAGTGCAGTACTGACCAAGGCATATGACGTCGGGAGAACAGAAAGGAGAAAAGTCACTATTCTAAACCTATGATCTACTTATGGCTTTAATAGACATCTAGCAAATAAGGAGATATCTTTTCTGCATGCCTTATTCCGTTACTGGTAACGAGTAACGCATGCGTTATTGCGTTTAAGTAACTTCGAGTAACGCAGTAACGCTTATGATACAAGTCAAGCTAATAAATACTTATATTTTTTTTGCTGATATAACTATTCCTGGCACGACTGAGTTTCTGATTTCAGTTAAGCTTACTTCGATAAATACAGCGAGTAAAACTGCTTTTATGTACGGTTTTTGTTTGTGTTAATAATATTAACACAAACGAAAACCGTACATGACATATCAAAATTTGGCGCCTTTTTTCCAAGGGGGTTGCCAGAAAATTTTTTGCGGAATCTTGTAGCCCATGGTCGATTTAGTGGTACGCCATACTTATCTCAAATGGGTCCTTCCGATTTCTGTGGAAAAAAAATTTGGGAAAAAAGTCAAAAAGATCCGTAGGATTCGTACCGACAAAAAAATTCACTTTCTTTGCACTAAACCACTGTGCTACGGATCTATACTGATTCTCTCTTGTTATACCAAGTACAGATGAAGAAAAACAGAATGGGAAAAAATTGTTAATGTTTTCCGAACGTAACTTTTTTTCTAAAAGGTTGCCGAAGAGGATTCAGCGATTTTTAGACAGCACTGTCATGACTAGACCTGTAACAGTTCCAGCTCATAAGTTCAGCTCATTTGAGCGAAAGAACTGTTCAACAGTTCTTTTGAAAGGAGCTGATATGTTTGAACTTGAAAGGAGCTGATATGTTGGAACAGCTCTTTTGAAATTTTAAAAATTGAAATTTTTTGAAATTTTTTCAACGACTACTGCTAAGGCGTCTCTTCTGTTACTCTTCTGTTCATTTTTGGGAAGTGATTCCCAAAAAAGAACACTTTGCTCTTGGACTCCTGAACTTTAGGAGCGCCCAGTGCTTCGAGTTGAGCAAGCTCTTGCTTCAGCATGAAAGCTTTAGCAGTAGTCGTTGAAAAAATTTCAAAAAATTTCAATTTTTAAAATTTCAAAAGAGCTGTTCCAACATATCAGCTCCTTTCAAAAGAGCTGTTCAAACATATCAGCTCCTTTCAAAAGAGCTGTTCAA